TTGAATTTTTACCTCTCTTAAAAAGAACTCTATCCCTTGCTGTCCCATTTTGAGCTTTCTAATTTTTTACATGAAAACCCCAAATAGGATCACCCCTCACACTAAAGACAAATTTTAGAAAAAAGAAAAGAAAAACATTATTGATCCTAATCGATGGCAACAAAGAACACCATTAGTCAATCCACCCATTCAAAAAAAAAAAAAAAAACATGAGTGGACCATCATTCCTAAAATGGGTCCTAAAACTAATGGACTTTCAAAAAAACTAAAGAATACAACAAGAACAAATGTGAAAATGTGGGTTGGATTGATATGAGAATGGCCAAGTTCAGGCAGTAACACCTAAAAGATAAAATTTTCAAAGCAAAAAAGTAATCCTATGTCAAAAGTACCTTGAAATATTATTTAACATTCCTAAAATGGGTCCTAAAACCAATGGAATTTCAAAAGAACTAAAGAATACAACGAGAAAAAATGTGAAAATGTGGATTGGATCGATATGACAATGGCCACAGTTCAGTGCAGAACACCTAAAAGATAAAATTTTCAAAGCAACAAAGTGACCCTATGCCAAAAGTACCTTAAAACACTATTTAAGCCTCAAGTATCATTTTCTTTATGAGAGCCATGCCATAGCCCATTTTACCTTCTTACAAAAGTCTATGCTAACCAAAAGATAAACTACTCGGATTGATAAGTCGGGATCTCCAAATAATCAAAGAAAACCCTATTGGAAAGAATAGTCAAGATCAAAACACATGTTTTGCATAACTATAGGCGATACCAAACCTAGAAAATTTGGCGTAAGAAAACCTCTCATCAATTCTAAGCAAAGATGTCATTTCGAAACCACGTGCATGATTTGGGAGGAAAACCGATAGAATGTTATCATACGGCTAGTTTTGATTTTCATTCATTTTTACAAGCCTACCTTGATTATTTTGATCTAAAATTTTTAGGATTTATACATATGTTTTCCTTTAGCCTAGGTTTCAAATTAAAATTTTAGAAGTCTATGTACTACTTATTTGCTATTTAGTTATTATTCTATCTTATTTTTAAGTATTAGTATAGTTTGTTTATGGAATTTAATTATTTGGCCCAACATTTAATTTTATTTTAATTTAAACTTTTAAGGATTTGTTTGTGTGTTGGTCTTTGGCTTGTATTTTAAATTTTCTAATTTTAAGAGTTCATTTACCATTTATTTGTTATCTATTTATCATTTTGTCTTATTTTAAATTAGTTGTGCAATTTGTTTATGGAATTTAACTTTGGGTCCAAGTGTTTAATTTTATTTTAATCCAAAATTTTTAGAATTTATACATATGTTTGTTCTCATCTTGTTTTAGAAATGTTCGTAATTTTACGAGTCCATTTGTTATTTATTTACAATTTATTTATAATTTTTCTACCATTTTAATTACTAATGTGATTTGTTTCAAATTTTAATTTTTTGATCCGAAACTTTTAGGGTTTGTACCTATACTTGTTATCGATATGTATTCTAATTTTCATAATTTTTGTAATTTATTTTAAATTCTACTATTGTTATAATTATTAATTTGATATTTTTATTTAGCAAGATGAGAGATTGTTAAGTCTCCTAGATTCTTGGAACCGATGACGATCCCTCATCGAATTCATCTTGTTCATAAGAAAAAATATGCCTTTGCAAGATAATTTGGGAATTCAAGTCTCTTATTTGATAGGGACGGACGTTAGTCTCAACACCTCGAAAAAAAAAAAACAAAAAAAAAGCTAAGAGAAATACAAGTCAACTTTAAATGCCTTCAATTAATTAGGTCGTTCCTCGACATGCTCGGTCATATCGGGACTTAATTGGATTTGATGCTAAATTGACAAGACTCTCGCTTTAGGGTCCGACGTTAATTTAATACTATACCACAATAAATAAAAAATAAAAAATAATTTGACTTTACAATAAACAAATTAGGAAATAGACTTAGGAAATAATTTGGTGAAATCAATTGTTAGGAGATATTTTTAGAATTAAACTAAACATGATACTTCTTCTCAAAAATATTGTATTTGAGTGATCATTATCTTTCCAAAGACAACCAACTATTTGTCCAAAATCTCTAAATTCGAGTGTCTTTCTTAGGTTTTCTAATTCTTTGATGACTCTAAGACCTCTCGTTAACTCTTATTCCATATTCAATAAAACAAAATACTATTTTTTTTTTTTTGAAGTCTCTTAAATTTTGGATTGCAACAATAATGATTGCAAATTTTTAGTACTAACTACTCGTTCCTAATGTCTTGCTCAAGTGCAAAGTTTCTCCCTTTATTTGTGCTACTTTTAAATCATCATTCTTGACAAATGTCATGTCCTTTAATCCCTGCGATAGATAATAAAGTTCCTTTCATCTCTCATTTGAACTACCATATATCCCACTTGTAAGGTCGACCACACAACATTCTTATTTATTCATTTATATAAGATAGAGTTCAAAAACAATTATTTAAAAGAATCATGCAAAAAAAAAAAAAAAACAAAAAACAAAATAGAGAATAGAAATAGAAAACCCAAAGCATATATCTCATGTGTTGTTGTAGAGTTAGTAGCTAAAAAAAAAAGTCAAAAAATTTAGCAATATAATATCGTTAATTAGATATTGTTTGATATAAACATGTATTTTACTATAAATATATATAATAACTAATTCTCGCTAGGATCCTTGGATAAACATATATAACTCGGTAATTAAAATAATGATGTGGCAATTTTATGAATTTAGATAATTAGTTTTTATCATATATTTTTCATATACGGTTTGTTAATGAGATAGAGAGAGAATAAAAAAAATCATCAAACAAGATTGAAATTAAAATATTTTAAAAATCATTAGGCAAAAATAGGGACAAAAGTTACACACAAAAAAGCTTAAATGATCAAATTAAAGTAAAGATCATAAAATAAGGATCAAAAGTAAAAAAAAATTATTAAAAACCATAAAGGACTTATAAACAATAAGACTTAAAAAAAAAAAAACCACTATGCATAAAGCATGAACAAAAATCAAATATAATAAAATATTAATAACCAAGATAAAACAAAAAAAAAAATCACAAAACAGGAACCAAACCAAAAAAATAAAAAAATAAAAAAAATAAAAAATTTACTAAAAAAAAATTAGAAAAGTGAAACTATATTTAGTTTTATTGTAATATGGATAAAAGTCAAACATGTTAAAAAATTAATGATCAAAATTAAAAAAAAAGTTAGAAAATAGATATCAAAATAGAATAAAAAGTTTCACTAAAAGAAAAATATATATTTTTATAAAATAAAAATTAAATATGATAAAACTTTAATAACGAAAAAAAAAAATCAATAGAAACAAAAATACGAGCTTAACTACAGGAAAAATGTTATTTTATTTTAATATATTTAATAATTTTCCCTTCCTGTACTGAAAGCAATTTGTTTCCTTTATTGAGATTAGTGAAAGAGATTAGGTTCCCTGAAAAGAACATAAAGCAAGCAAACCTCCTAACCAGGACGAAAAGTCTCAACTACTAAAGTAAAAGGACAAGAAGCCACACAAAATGCCAAGAGGGATGCATATGTTGACTTCTATTCTAAAATTCAAGGAACTTGCAAGCAGGTTTACACCTCATGCATTTCGTATGTAGCAATTAGCACGGCAAAAGAGGAAGCATATACAAGTTTTCTTTCATGATTTTCCCAGTCTTTGGCATAGGATGCCGTTTTCTCTCCATAATTTGGTCTTCTCCTCAAGAAGGCAGCCCATGAGATGCATGCTAGCTTGTTCTCTTTTGGACTCTACTTTTAGGATTCGATTGAAAATGATGAACGTACTGATATGTGAGTGGTTGGCTCAAGGAAGCAGCGCACGATATGCTTTCCTGACGAGAAGCCACTAGAGTCTGGTGAAGAAACAAAATAAGTGCAATTTGAGAGATGTCACAGCCTGTAATTGTCCATCAAGATTCTCTATCTGAGTTTTCATATCTTTGTTCTCTTTTATTCTAAGGTTTGAAATCCAGTCTTTTCAGTCTTCGGTATCTACCAAACCTCGACAAGCCCTGAAAATTAAAGGGCACAAAATAGTTTAAAAAATGCAAATAAGGTGCATTGGAAAAAGCCATTACAGCTTGCAGCGAACCCATTACAGCTATTTCAAGTGGCAAGTAAATTATAATTACTATTAAGATATATAGTAGCAGAAATACCATCATTGCAAGTTGCAAGCTTTGACAGCAAAGAGAAATTGGAGCACTTAAAATTATAGTCCCTGAAAAAGAGGGAAATTTAATTGTAGCAATTAAGGTAAATAAAAGTGGATGTACTTCAGTTGATGAAACAAGAACGAGCTGAGCATGTGGCTATGTGAGCAATTCTCGGCAAGAGGAGATCACAACTCCACTATTCTCGCCTATCTTACATACAAACTAGCTAATGCTGTTAAAGAACCAAAGGAAAATTAATTAAAACCGCATTAGGTGGTCCATTGTCGAAACCTTGTTTAATTTTTGGAGTCAATTCGCAGGCAGATAGATAGATATCTGTTTAAGCATTTCCGACCTGCTGTGAATCTACATGTAATTGAACCAACTAAAATTTTATTAACACCTAGCTATAGGAAGCTACTACCAAACTTCCTACTAATTTGTGGCACAAAAAACCTGCTAGGCTACCCAAGTCGAGGCAAATCCCATATGATGCACCAACACGAAGGTAAAAAAAAAGCTCTTTACAATCTGTAATTACTTAATTAATCTAAGCTGAACATTTTCTTTATATTTTTTAGACCAACCCACTTGCAATTTCCCACGTCAGGATTTACCCTACAGTCTCATTAGGCCACTATAAATACCCATGTAAACTCCCTCAAGGCCATCACCTCCCAAGTTGTAAGCTTGTTGATCTGACTGAAAACATGAAGCTCTCTTTTGCAACATTCCTGCTACTTTCAGTGGTCCTCACCCTGTCCTCTTTCCTTCGATTCACCATGGCTGTGCCCAACTATGTCGCATCACCTCCAACTCGACCTGCCTCTCCCTCCCCAGCAATTCCGAGTAATCAGATCATTCACCTATCTACTATATATCTATACAAGTCCATGATTAAAACTATGTTAGTTGATGCATGAGTGCATGCACATATATATTTAGTTTTTTTCTATTAAAGAATGATCATAGAAATATTGTTTTGGCAAAATGTGACAGGTTTCTGTGATTCAAAGTGCAAGGCTAGGTGTGCCAAGGCAGGATACTACGACCGCTGCTATGACTTCTGCATAATCTGCTGCAAAGATTGCAAGTGTGTACCTTCAGGGACTTATGGAAACAAGTCAGAATGTCCATGCTACAGAGACAAGTTGAGCTCAAAGGGCACCTCCAAATGCCCTTAAAAAATTCATTATCTCAACCTTCATTCTCCCTCAAATATTTCCAAAAACCGCTTCATCTATATATTCATAACTGTTAGTAGCATTGCAATAATTAAGAAGTTGGATCCCCATAATGTTGAAAAATTTTGAATAAATAGTAGAATCCTTTTTCTTCTCTCATAGACTGTTGTGCTTGTACGCCAGCTGAAACTTATAAAATGTGATTCGTTTGATTCCAAATACTTTACTGTTATTTACCCTCAGCATCTTAATTATTTTATACGTTCTCATTTTGATTCCAGCACCGACTTGTTCAGTTCTGATAAAGTAAATATTTAATCTCGGTATTGTAGAAACGGAAGGTGTCATGTACATTGACAAGTTAATATGATATTTAAATAGAATTTTTGAACACATACATGGATCATCAAATGCATATTCTCTTGTAATGGACAACATGATTTCCAGACAATCTGTTAATTAATAATGTTAATAGCAATAATTTACTTCAAACGTTTCAAGTGTTGTAAAGCAGCATTACATCGATCGAATTATTTGTTGAAATGAATAGGGTATTAGGATCGATCACGGGTTCATCAAGATGCTGTAGTACTTCCTTGTAGCATCCTTTTCGTGAGCTTGGCTAAGAAAAGTGTTAATATCGTTGCCGATGGCACAAAGACGACATCAGGAATGGCCTTGATAAACCCTAACTGGGGCACATTCTCTCCAGCTCTTTTGGCAGCCATGGCTGCTGGAGGTGTTGCTATCCCAATGATCAAGGTAGAGTCATCTAGCTTGCCAGGGTTTATTTTTTCCTTCATATTCCTAATAAACTCTTCCTTCTTTACCGACTGATCTTGAACTGTTTCCCAATCACTGAAAAAAGCCTGTACGGGAATTTATAGTGTAGCAGTATATTAATTTGAGGTGTATGGATGGCAATGAGGATACATATTGAATGTGCAAGGAGATTGTCCTTTAGGATTGAACTAACCTCTACATCCTCCCTTGAGGGTACATCATAATGTTTACCAGGTAATGCTGAGTTGAATGTGCTGCGTAAGAAAGGTTTAAGAGGGCAAAAGTTCAGACTGTACAGTTCGTGCATCATTTTTTTTTCCTTTAAATCATTAATAACTGCAATCTATGTAAGAGTTGGTAAGCTTTACTGAGAGACGATACATTTATATATATCATAAAACTGACATGGAATTTACTTTTTCATTTTTTCCATGCCTGAAAAACAATTTTAATGCTCATAAGATCATAATATCTCAGTTATTAATTGCCTTTGAATAAGTTTTAGTATGATTTGTCTATTTATAAATCATTTCTTTTGCTGATATAAGGGAAGGATATATGAGAGACCCCTTCGGCCTTCTTATACAATCAAACCAATTAACAATCAGGATGATCCATCCTCGAAGGAAAAAAAAAGGAAGAAAACAAAATCACCGGACCAGCATATTTGCCAATGAGTGCGCCCAAATAGGGACAACACCTTCGGCTGCAAAAATATGAAAGCTTCCATTCTAATTTGTTTTTAGTGACATCACATGAAAAAAATGCAATAAATGTAATCTTACTTGAAGATATCAAGAATAGCACCATGGAAGTCATCGAATGTTTTGATATTTCCCTCCACAAATTTCTTATCGAGAGTCCCCATCACATAACCAGTCATCTGTGTTGAAGGCATGGGCAAGCCTACCAGCAAACAGTTTGCTCATGATTAATGACAACGAAAACATAGAATGAATATAGGATGGACTAGAAGGAAAATTGAAGAAAGTGGGTAGGAAGAAAGCAGCAACAAAATTTAGACAACATTAGAAAAGACCATCACAAACCTTTTCCCAAGGAACTCATGGGCATACCCATTTTGCAAACTTGAATACGAGTAGAACCAACGACAGAGGGCTATTATATAATAGAATAGGAGGACAAAGATGAAACGAAAAGGAATGTCTAGTTGAGTTTGCAGGTCAATGCAAGGAAAGAATACATCATCTGATCCAACCACTTTTTTAATATAAAAATCTGATTCCTGGCTTGAAAGAGTTGTTAGCTTCAGGGAGGAGCCAGTAGAAGGGATGTGATTGCTGATAGGGACCTTAATGCCCTGCTTTTCCATTCTGAAGCTCTTTACACTTGCAATTTCTTTCCTCTAAGAATGTAAATTCCCCTTTTCCTTCCCTCCTTTAACCCTCAATACCAAAATGTGTGGCTACAGCAAATTACTGTTCGTTCTACAGGCATTACAAAAAACAAATAAATGCCTTCATTTTATTTTACTATGAAAGCAACTCAGTCAAGCCTTCAACCTAGTATGCCCTGCTAACCAAAATGTTTCCATGCCAGGTGATGATATCCACATACAGACTGAAACAAAACAAACACAAAACAGCCGTTGATAATCACAGCTTGCCTAATAAGACCACTGTGAATGTGTGATAGCTAAGGAAGCCTTTCTTAAAGAATGAAAACAAATACATTATGGAAATATAACGAATCACATCAAAACAATAGCATTCAAACTTAGACTAAGTGCACGAAGTGGCAGAGCAGATGGAGAGATTTACAGAATAAGAACTATATACTTAATTTGCAGCATAAAGAGGAGAATTGGGAGAAGATACATGTCAGAATTAGCAGCATGAACTATTCTAATCATAGCAGGTGCCGGCTTTTCTTTTTTAAAGCTTTATTTTCTCCTCCCCCGCTTTCTCTTGTTATTGGAAACATTGGACCTGGATTTAGGAAGTGATTTCCCACCAAAACGCACACGTGCCACTAGCATCTCTTCTGGCAGGTCAGGTTCTGAAGCTTGGATTGTTTGCTTTTCCATTACTCCCCAAGGCTTCTCTGTTAGTCCACTGTCAAAATTTTTGAAGTTTCCTATCTCCTCTTTCACTGCAGCATTACGTAGAAGAATTTCTTTCTCAGCCTGAAGATATGACAAATAAACAGCTTCATTAGACTTAACAATTGTTAGCAAGTGGCCTCTCCATAACCTTAAAACTGTAGTTTCAAGCACAAGATCTACCATGTTGCAGTCAGACAGATGCTGAGACAAAACCTAGGCTTAATGAATCATCCCACCTTCCCACATGCATGTGTTGTTTGTGTTACAACAAAATAGAACTTCCATTTTACTTCCACAGATGATGAGAAAAAATAGGGTAAACTATAAATCACAGAAGAAACACATACATTTCCACATGAAACCCCACCCTGAGGTAGGCCTGGGCATTCAATCATATCAGACCGAGAGGTCGCCTCTCCTTGACTTGAAACTGCAGTTTCAGGCATAAGATCTCCAATGTTACACCCAGGCATGCGCTGAGATACCATGTCTAGCAATCTAACAGACATTGTATCTCCATTTTTGGGAACTGAAGCTGGATTTCGATCAGAACTGTTTGATGGATTGGATGATGCAAGTAAGCTCAGCACATTGACAGAAGAGAATTTCACAGGATTTTCATGAGCTACTTTGTCTACCCGGCCCTTCAATTTATGGACTTGCAATTTTAGCACCTCAATCTGTCTAAGGATATGTTCGCTGATGTTATCTCTGGACTGAAGAGACGCCAATCCATCTTGAAACCCAAACTCATCATGGTCAGAAATTGTCTTAGCTGCAAAATTACGCCCATACAAGAACATTAAGAACCCAATAACCTTGCAAAATTTTCAACCACAACAACAGTCAGGAAACATCTAATAGTCTCGTGTTTTGAAACAATCATGTCTTGAACATATGAGTGAGTGTGTTCAGATGAATCACCCACCCATAATAACAAATAGTATTTCAGAAGGCAATGATTATAATACCAACTCAATATTTATTGGCAGTAACATCTCCCTTTCTATAACATTTCAAATTACTGTTCTCATTAACCTGAATAATTGCAGCATTCCTAGCCAATATGGAATTAAAGATGGATTTCAACATTTTATGAAACAAACAACAAAGGAAGTGATGCGAAGGAGAGAAACATAACATCAACAATCAAAACCAATGAAAGATGGCACGCATGAGGCTCCTTCCAAACAGACATCTTTGATATAGACAAAGTCCCGACATGCCCCCTCTAAAGAGATTGAAATACAGTCCTTTATTGAACAAAAAGATAGAAATATAGAAGTGAATAAAATCAATTAGACATGCTGATGTGTATTCATCTTAGCCAATATTCTATAGCTGATATGGTAAAGCAAACAATCAGGAAATCCAGTACAAAATATCTTTAGGAGCATGCGCAGATGATTTTTTTTTTTTTTTTTTTGCCCCCCAATAGATCTTGCCCGGGTAATCAGTCGTTCACCAAGAGTTGTTAGTCAAGAATTTTTTTCCTTACCAGGGTTACCGCACCCATCATCAATAGAAGCACCATCAGTAGCAGACTTCTTATTTTCTGGTCAATACAGAATCAAAAGAAACAGAAGTTGAGGCTTATCTTTTCATTTAGGTGCAAAATATTTGTAAGAGTAGTAGCATAAACAACACAAGAACCAAGAATTGGCAAATTTAGTACCATAATAGGAGAAGAGGTTATGTTGTAACATATATGATGCTACATCTGCAGTCTCTTCAAATCTCTTTCTTTTCTTTCTCTTCATTGCTTTCTTTCTAGTCGTACAAGTAGAAAATGGCAGTGACTTCACAGGAAAACCTTCTGCCATAAATGTTTCAAGATCAAACTGTTTTCTCCGTCCATGTTCTGCAATTTCTCTGTCATACTTAAGTGCTTGGGACTGAAATTCCTTAATTTGCAATTCTACCCACTTACATCTCCACATAAGAGGACGTATAAATCTCCTCCAGTGATCTGTCAACTTTTTCCTCCTGAAAAATTGGAAACAGTCACAAAGGTTGCATGGGAAACAATTTCTGAAACTTAAAACGACCAAACAACAGAAACAAACATAGTAAAAATAAGGAGGTAAACATCGTAAGATTTTTCCTTCTGTCTCAAATATACAAAGCAAGAAAGAAAAAAGTAAAAATGCAAGACTTTGAGAACTTGGCTGTCACAGGTGCAGCTAGTCAAATCTATACTTGAGGGTAAAAAAATAAAAAAAAAAGAACCCATCAGTCTCACTCAAGCACAATAAAAATCGTTATAGCAGGGTTTTAGGCCATACAATGATTTGATTATGGATATGTTCGTCAATGCTTATTTGTTGGGAATAAATTGGAAATGAGAACAGCACTTATTAATTTACAGAGGGCAAGCAGTGCAACCTTTCAACAAACTTTCAAAGAATGAGAAGCAGGGTACATCTAGTGGCACTATAATAATGTCACTGATGCTCTAAGGCACTGTAGATGCGAGTTTTGAAAAACACAACTGTAAGTTACTATTAGCTATGATTTCCACTGCAATGCCAATGAGAGGCCTTATTATCTACCTTTCAGCGAAAACTTAAGACAAGGTAACCAAAAACCCATACACACGAGGTGCTGCTACAAGGATCAGAATGAAGTTTTTTATTATTATTACTTTTTTTTATTTTCTCGCAACCCTAACCCAAATTTACATTTTAAGACCATTCAAATTGCAATCTTCGATATAATTCACATAAAAGATGATAATGAAGATGACAATTGTGGATAAGTGCTTAAGTTTGCCTATAACTAAATTCCAACTATGCAGTTCTACTGAGAAAGGATAGTCGATAACTGATGATAATCCATAATTATTATTTCATGATGCAATACCTTAGGGGTGGTATTTTTTTCTGTAAAAGTTAGGGGTGGTATCAGATTAAATGATTTCCCATGTAATCACGTGTATAGTTGAGCACTAAATTATACATGCAAAAAATAAATCAATCAAAACTAATAATACCTCATTTGAAATGCTCCGCCATAGCCATCAAATATAGATGTTGGTCCACCTTCAACAAATAACTGTGACTCAACTTCAGTATCACTGAACGCAGAAGAACCATTCTTGGTATCAGATTCCGTGTCCCCAAAAGAACTCATGCTCTCAGTCAAATCCTCATATCTAGCTTCAATTTGCTCATTGTTACTGGGATTTGTACAGTCTATTATATTAACCTCCACGTCCTCACTTCCAACTGCTTCCCTAGTTTGATCATCATGAAAGCCTTTGTCCTGACAATTACTTACACATTGAATGACCTTATTATCTTCTGGGTCTGGAGGCATACTTATATTCTCTTTACTAGCCGAAACTTCCATGACAACAATCGGTTTGTTTTTTATCTCCAAATCAGGACCCATATTAATTAACTCAATAAATACTACACATTGACCTGAAACAGAATAATAATCTCTTGGTCATCGGTTCAATTATCGTCACCCAACTGTTCAAAACATATAAAATATCCTCCGGAATGAAGAAAAAAAATTATAAATTTCATTTTACGATGATTTGATTTCCAAATTAACAGAAAGCAATACCAAAACAGATTCTAATAGTAAATAATATCGAAGAAAGAAAAATATAATGAAACTGATTAATTATTGAAAATTGAGTGAAAAGAACAAAACTTTAGCAACCACACAGGAATTTGGCGATGGCAATTCATTGAAATTACGTAAACCTTTAGACATCTAACACAGATGATACCAAGAATAAAAAAGAATGAAATTGAAGCTGCAAAACCTAGATTTGAAATTGAAATTGAAAAAGAAAGTGAATAAAACCCTAAACCCTAACCAATTAGAGAATATAAGGCAATTACCTGAGGAAACGTTTTTCGGGGCTCAGATTATGCGAGGAAAGATTCACCGACGGTGTAGATTAAACCGGCCGGTGATTGAGTGCGAAACGAGAAATGATTTATTTTTTATTTTTCTGGCGGGGGCCGGAGGGTGGGGGTGTGGTTGTGGGTGCTGGCGAGGAACAGAGAACCGAAGGAGCTAATATATGTTACAGCTTCCAGGTGGGCTCCACTTAGATGCGACTCAACAGTCTCAACTCTCAACTCAACTCAACTCAGGACCTCTTTGCCTTTTTTTTCTTTTTTCTTTTTTCAAATCGAGATTTACTGTGTGATTTGCACCAAAATTTAAACCGTATTTATAGTTAGTATGTCACTCGAATGACTAACAAGCGCCCCCGGGGGGGGGGGCGCCACTATTAACAAAAATAACATTTAATGTAATGATTTGGTAAATCAATTTAAAATGGCAAGTGATATTATCATACATTATTTCGAAAATATACAGAATATTTAGCAGTAATGTTTGGTAATTACTGTATGTGTCACCTTAAAGAGAGAGGCAAATACAAAGAAGAATGAAAAAAATCGTATCCATCTATAAAAATAGACTCAAAAATATTTTTTTAAAAAAATTATTTCCCATTTATCTTTCTCCCTTCTTGAATATATTTTATGTTAGATATTTTTCTTAACAAAATTCAAAGATTTAATTCTCACGAAGAAAAATGCAATAAGAAACGACAGATCAGCGGAATGGTTTGGAATAAACCATTTGACGAAACGGATAAACGGTACAAATACTTGCACACGAGCTTTGGAGGTGCGATTCATATAGTTTAAATCTTCAATTTATGATCCATGAGTAATGCAGCGAAGAGAGAGCATCAACCTCGAAGAGTTTTTATCTTTTTCCAACATTGTCGTTACTCGTAGGCAATCAAGTACAACTCAAATTTTTATCTAAATTAAACCATTACTTTTAACATAAAGTCATTGGCTAATGGTTCCAAGAACAAGAAGAACCCAAGCTACATTAATGGCCCAGAGCACGTAATAAATTAATGATTGTTCGGGATCCGAAGAGCATAAGGTCCGATGTGCGTTGTGTTAAATCACTCAACTCACTCTCCAACAAGCGAGATCAAGTTTATTCCAAAAGATATCATTTTTTTACACTCTAATCATGAATTAGTAAGCTCAAAGGTATAGGGCAAGACGAATTACTAGGTGAAGACTGGAACTTTACTCATTTTAGCAAATCCTATGGACAAAGTCGAAAAACCCGAGAACTATTTCAAGCCTATTTAATCATTCCTCCATTCGAAGAAGTGAACATGCTTAAATAAAAAGGGAGCTTGCTTGCTTGCCCGCTCGCCTTTTATGTTAGACTAGACATATTAGATCACGGGGTTTAGATTGAATCATCTCAAATTCATATTCATACTCGTTTAGAGTGCAAGTCACTATACACTTACACCTAACCCAAACTCTTTTTTTTTTTCTTTGGACGGATTTAGGAATAACACATAGGTTTACGAGATATCTTTCCTTGCAAAAGAAAGAGTTTGATTATTATAATAAATCAACATTTACGCATATGCACATGAATTATAAATATATCATACAACTATTATAATTACAAAAACATATATAAATCATATTAATGATGACTTAAAATTAAAATTTAACAGAGTAATTTGTTATCAATAAGCTTTGTATAGTTCTTGGTTTTTCTTTTTTTTTAAAAAAAAACAACTCTATTAAAAAAATCCAAAACAAAACAAAAAAGAAATAGGACATTCTTTTAGAAATTTCAAAATTTTTTACATGAAAAAAAAACACTTTTATATAAAAATTGATTCATGAGAAATAATAAGATTCTATTATAAAAGAAATGGTAACAATAATAGAATTGAAAAGAAAGATAATAGGAAAATGAATTCACTATCGAATAAAGCGAATACAATAGGTAACAACTCTAAATAATTCTCTCAATCTCTATAAAATACTTCTATACAAACTAACGAACAATCAAGCATATTTATCGACTTCAAGATTAAGAAGAAATTAGAAGGGACTATAAACTAAAAATATACATAAATAATTGAATAAATTGCATCAATCTTTCAATTTCTCATATTGAATGGTGAATTAAATCAAATACGTAGTGGGAATATGAAATGGTTATGAACATTTGTTATTTCATAATACTTCTCCTTGAATGTCCATCGTACAAGGAACATACCTAATTAAAACCCTCCTAATAAAAAAACCTAGTGAAAAAAATCCTAGTGAAGAAAAAAGAATACAACATTCCTTGTACAAATTAATCTTTATATTGGGCTCTCCCTATTAAAAACATTATTTTAAAATCTTTAAGACAATGCATTTTAGTCTTGCATACCATTCGACAGTGCTCTCGTCGTCTGTCTTTATGTTAACGTCTATGCTCCAATGTCATAGCAACAAGCACGATTCTCCGAGTAGTGATCGCATCATCTCTATGTTTGATCTTCGACTTGATTTGAGGAGGCTCGGCTAGAAGAGCTTTTCTCTATCGTATAAAGAATTTTCTCATAGTGGATGACTATCCTCAAATTCATTTTCCAATCGAGGAAGTTTGTGCCATTAAAGGCATTACTTTCATCAATGATTGATCATATCGTTGTGATGTTAGTCATACTATACAATCCGACAGGATAGAAAAACATTCGGTTTAGTTAATTAAATTACATAAAACAAAGCATAAATTAAAGAAGTAAAATCTATGTTCACTCTCATTATTTTCTTCAAGTTCTATAACCTTCACAATATAGTACTCAATAAAATTTTTTGATTCATTTTCTTAGTGGATTAGGATCTCATTCTCTAACATGCATTAACCTTAAGTTATCTCAACAAATCATACATAAAGGATTAGGTAGGTAGCTCTTTACCAATTATATGTAATGTAATTCTTAATCTCATTGGCATGATAACTCATTTTCATATCATATATTATGTGAATACCAATCTATGCCTACGAGTTTGTTGAGATAACTCAAGATTCAATTTCTCTAGAGGAAGAAATCTTGAGTTATCTCAACAAACTTAATAACTCATTTTAAGTTAGACCCAACATTCGAGGACATCGTATGGCCCATGATTTTTTTCTCTAGAGGAAAAAGTGACCTTGAGTTATCTCAATAAACCAACAATAACCAAGAAAGTTTCCTTCTTTTAACGTTGGAAGATAATTAACTTAATATTTTATTTAAAGGATTTAACTTAGTTGGTCTCATTTCATGCATGATATAAAGATCGGTGAATGATAATGAATCTCTAATAGTAGCCCCCTCGAGCCACAAGGAGACTAGAGAGCCAAATACCTAAGTAAAAAATTATTATAAATTCTTCAAGAATGTCTTCATTTCTTGACATCTTCTCCTTGCATCTATTCTAATTTCTATCTTCTCCTTTTACATTTATTTGAATAAGAAACCTCAAGTTACAATCGAGGGGAGTAAGATAAAAAGAGAAATACATTAAAATAATAGAGAAGGCGGGACGGCGAGTCCTATTTATCCAAAAATTATAAACATTCATTCTCATAAAAGTAGGTCGACTCATCCATACCATTCACCTATGCTTTAATCAAATTGATACATGACATACTAATGAAAAATATTCATTTAGAACTTAATTATAAATATATGTTTTAGTCATTTTATAAATTTATCAAAATTTTTATAAATTTCAATTTTAAAACTTTATTAGCCTTGAGCCTATAGGCTTTTGTGCCTCGAGGGCCCACGAGCTTCGATGCCAAAGCCTTTGGCTTAGCGCACACCCATAGCCGACGAACTTAGCATGCAAGTACCGGCCGGTGGCCTCGCATGCCCATCTAACTTACGGCTCGACACACAAGTGTCTAGCTTACACACCGGCTCACTAACACCCTAACTCGCTCGCCTCACACACTACCTAGCCTACAACGCCCGACCCGTGAGTGCCCGGCCTACCTACCTCACATACGACATGGCCTATAGCGCTTGGAGTGCGAACGAATAGCTTGTAAGCCTCACTCGGGCTCGACTCCGTAGCGTTGTCTACGCTTTGTGCGCTCACTTAGCACACAAACACCGCTCAATTGTGCACTTGGCGTGCAACCTCTTAGCTCGTCACGTGCCTAACGAGCGACTAGCCTAGGCTTTTCATGTGCACAAGCACTAACGTCCAACATCGGTGCCTACTAATGTTTAACCCAAATTTATATTTAAATTTATATAAAATACTAAAATATAAGATTTATAATCGGACATAGCTAATTCATATAGTTAATAATAATTAAATAACATACAATCCAAAATTCAACGGAGGCTCGATACCAATTGAAGGATCATGCATCTTACGAAGGTGTAGAATAAAACAAAAATTTTCTCCCTCTAAAGGGCTTAAGATCATGTCGTTAAATCCGTTAATCATAAATTCATAAATTAAAATAATGAATAGAGAATTTACCTCTTATAGTGC